TCACATCTGCTTGGCATTTTCAAAGTGTTTCTTGGTGTTATGGACAATGTTATATTGTTGGTTCACTTTTGTGTTTTGGTGTGGGTATTGTTCGGTGTCCTTTCATTCTTTGTATTACGCCATTTGGTGATTATTCCCATCTACAATACCAAGAAACTACCTATTTTCCTTACAACACAATCACATTCCAGAAGTATTTCTACTTTTCACAGTTTTCTGATTTTCCAGTAAGCTTAAATACAACACTTATCCTTCATCTCTTTCACTTTTATTCCTGCAAGTCTGCTAGGTGGAGTGTGGGGAAAATGAGGAGGTGGTGCACCCCCCCTGCCCCTTCTCCTTCCTTTCCCATGCCTTAGCCACCATTCTATGCCTCACCCCCCTTCCCATAACTCACCCTCCCCTTTCCATGCCTCAACCTCCCTATCCATGCTTCACCCTCCCCCTCCCATGCTTCACCCTCCCTTCCCATGCCTCCCCTCCCCTTACCATGCCTCAACCTCCTTTCCCATGCTTCACCCTCCCTTCCCAAGCATCACCCTCCCTTCCCATGCTTCAGCCTCCCTTCCCATGCATCACCCTCCCTTCCTATGCTTCACCCTCCCTTCCCATGCATCACCCTCCCTTCCCATGCCTCAACCTCCCTTTCCATGGCTCACCCTCCCTTCCCATGCTTCACCCTCCCTTCCCATGCATCACCCTCCCTTCCCATGCCTCACCCTCCCTTCCCATGCTTCACCCTCCCTTCCCATGCTTCACCCTCCCTTCCCATGCATCACCCTCCCTTCCCATGCTTCACCCTCCCTTCCCATGCTTCACCCTCCCTTCCCATGCATCACCCTCCCTTCCCATGCCTCACCCTCCCTTCCCATGCTTCACCCTCCCTTCCCATGCATCACCCTCCCTTCCCATGCCTCACCCTCCCTTCCCATGCTTCACCCTCCCTTCCCATGCCTCACCCTCCCTTCCCATGCCTCACCCTCCCTTCCCATGCCTCACCCTCCCTTCCCATGCTTCACCCTCCCTTCCCATGCCTCACCCTCCCTTCCCATGCTTCACCCTCCCTTCCCATGCCTCACCCTCCCTTCCCATGCCTCACCCTCCCTTCCCATGCCTCACCCTCCCTTCCCATGCCTCACCCTCCCTTCCCATGCCTCACCCTCCCTTCCCATGCCTCACCCTCCCTTCCCATGCCTCACCCTCCCTTCCCATGCCTCACCCTCCCTTCCCATGCCTCACCCTCCCTTCCCATGCTTCACCCTCCCTTCCCATGCCTCACCCTCCCTTTCCATGCCTCACCCTCCCTTTCCATGGCTCACCCTCCCTTCCCATGCTTCACCCTCCCTTCCCATGCCTCAACCTCCCTTTCCATGGCTCACCCTCCCTTCCCATGCCTCACATTCCTTTCCCATGCCTCAGCCAGGCTGCATGCTCTTCCTGTTTATGCAGTCATTCTTACTTTCTTAAACCACTCGTTCTTACTTTCTAAAACTACTTCAGGGTTTCGTAGTAGAGCTTTCTGTACAGCTGGCAAAATCAAGCTGCTAAAATCATCATGTGTCACATGACAAAGCAAAGGACCAAAGTGTACCTGGCAACAGAATGCAAAATAATCATTAATATTAAAGGTGCCATGTCACTCAGATATTGCTGTTTTAGGTCAGTTATGTACCCACACAAAAAATGCTCCAGCCTGTAGAGTTATGAATCGAAGACAATACCAGTATGAAACAAATTTCATCAGGGAGCGTGAAAAATACTAAATTTTTGGTGATCTTTGCAGGCATACATGGTGGGTGTGTCATTAAAACTTGAAAAGGTTGGCCCAATTTTTTCAAGTTTCAATCTATGTTCACCCTTCCCAACCGTTGCAACAGGAGACAGGAAACAGGTTCAATTCTTAACCCTTTAAGCCCCAATATCAAAATACAAATTCTCCAAACTGATCTCCATACATTTCCTTTAAGAATCAGTTGAGAGAATTTAATGACAGATCAAGGCATTTTCTCTTTGGTGATCATTTGTTAATTCTCATAACTGTATCTCTTGACAATTACTGGATATTGTTAGGAGAAAATTGATGTTGGTCACTATCGGGATTTAGAGGGTTAAGTCCCTATATCCACATACAAATTCTCCAAACTGATCTCTATATATTTCCTTAAAGAATGAGTTGAGAGAATTTGATAAAAGATCAAAGCATTTTCTCTTACGTCATCATTTCATTAATTCTCACAACCTTATCTCTTGACAATCTATGTCTATCGTTATAGGAAAATTGATGTTGGTCACTATTTGGACTTAAAGGGTTAAATAACAAAACTGGACCATAAATATTTTTTGGAACTTAGCTGATGTGAAGACAATTTAAAACAATAGCAAATAGAGTGACATAACCCCTTTAATATTTTAATTCTGTATCATTGATGGGGATGGGATTTTTAGGCTTTGATATCAAACTCATAGTCAGCTAGCAACAGTTCATTTTACTCTGTTACTGAATATGATCACCTCTTTCTTAACAGACACCTTTAAAACATGGACACCTTCCTAAAACAGAGACCAAGGATTCTAATATAACTGCTCCCACTAAATAAATAGTCAGTGGTCAGTTACAGCTGTAATAGAAGGCCACTGACAGCTATAATAAAAGGTTGACTGTACAACTGTTCTTTGCACATTGCACACTAATGCCAGTATTGCATTGTAGGTTTAGACACACTGCTCATACACATAATCATAACACTTAATTTATTAAAATATTATTCTCATAACATGTCTCTCACCAGAACATGATTGGGAGGTCTTGTCTTGCTATTAATCACAGCCTTAATATACATGTCAAGGAATGGTTTCTGTAAATTGAAGTTAAGGAGCAAACACTATTAGATATTCATCATCATCATAATCACAGATGATGTGAAGAGAAAATTCAACAAGAAGCATTTTTTCATGATTCTCACCTTTCTAATTTTTTTATGAACAACAATGATTATTCATTAGCAAATAATATAAATTAATTTAATGTCTAGTTCATTTCTTTCTTTCTTTCTTCTTTTCACTCAATCAGTCAGTAAATCATTATTCAGTTTGAGAGTTATTAATTAATTCAGATAATTATTCATTACTGGAAATACATCAATTAATTCCCTTGAACAATCATTCTTTCTTTCCTTTTTTAATTTATTCCTTTATTCAAAAAAAATATATAATTATATTATCTCACAAATAAAAAATAATAAATTAAACAGATTACATTATATTAACTGATTGTACTATCAACATTATTTTATACTGACCTTAAATTTACTTATTGTTTCACTGTCTTTATTTTTTGTGCAAAAATTAAAGAGGTATCCAGTCAAACAACCCAGCTCCTGAAAATAAAGAAAAAGCTATAAACTGAATATCCTTGATCCAGTACCCCCACAACTGACCTGTTCACCAATTATTTGACACAGTCGAACGTTGGTCTCCTCACAAGCAGCCCAAGCTCAATTTAGCATACAATAGGTGATTATATATAAACATACAGTAACAACAAGTTTGAGGTGTTGTGTTACAAACTCCTACAAGGGAAGGATTGTATGGGCTCACAAACATGTACGAGGTGTTGTGTTACAGCAGTGGGATTGAAGATCATGAAGGTTTGTATGGCATCAAAACTTAAACTCTGGGGATGTTACATATAAATCACTGAGATCTACAAAAATGGGGCTAAAATGTGAATAAAAGATGAGGAATACAACATTGAAAGAAGGTACATGTAAGTTAACTTTAATTCAAATATTTATATTATTTTTCTTTTTAAAATTAAATCAGTTGAAACTTCTAAAGCCACTTTTATCTGCACAATATGGTATTTGCATGAAAGATCAAGGGATCGACTTGCATTGACATATCTGGGGATTCTTAGAAATCTGAGAAAGCTGTCATACACTGTAGATGAAGATAAGGCAACTTATTCATGTTAAGAGAAAACAAAAAGACTAAGGCAACTATTCAGCCAGAATAATAGCAGGGCAATTCCCAACTCCAGAAAATACGAGGGGAATGGGTACAAGCTTTAAGTGCAATGATTTCTGGGATTGTTTGGGTGGACAAGTGTTACTTATGATTGGTCGATGGTATTCAAGGCAACCAATAACCAATTATAAGTAACGCTTGTCCATCCAAACAATCCCAGAACTCGTTGCACTGCAAGCTTATACCCAATCTCCCTTTAGTTTCTGGAGTGGGGAATTCACAGAAGTTCTGTACCTGAGAAGCTGGCATATTGCTGATAGCTTCAGCATACTTGGATGTTATTCCTGGAACCTGCAATTGTGAAAAAGGAAAGAAATTCCAAGACACTTTTATACACCAAAAACATAGCAGGAGGTGTGAAACAAAAATAACCATTAATTATTAGCAACTACAAGAAAACCCATCATGACACTCAGATCAAGCCATCAAATTAAATCAATTTTCTCTTGACCCCATTAGATGAAAATCGCTTGGTAGGAAGGCAGATTGTGGGAACAGTGTTACTGTACGAGCAAAGCTGCTTCCACATGCAGCCAGAACAAGTTATTCTTTAACCCATGCTATGAAGATGCAGCAAATACAAGGCCTGCAAAGCCAGTATTCCACAGGTTGATGTATTTAACCGTAGAATTACTTACGTAAATATCTATCTCCTCATTTTCTTATGGCTTGATGGTATGCAAGAACAAGGCTAGAACCCATTTATCACCAGTGGCCTCGTCCCCAGTCACTTGTGAACACTTTTTTGGGGGACATTTAATGAAAGTGGGGGCAAAAGGAGTGGTTACTCCCCACTTGCCTCTGCACTTGTTCCCATCATTCCCCACTCGCACTTCTCAATTGTCTCCACCCACGGTAAGTCTGTGCCCCCACTAACTCACTGGAAAGCCCATGGAGAAGGCATCATACATCATACCCTTTCTTCAGGTCACTGAGCTGATAAAATATCAATAGACACAAATCAACAGTGTGAACTATACCTCCCTCCAAACTTTGTGTAACTTTTTCCTGGCAGATGCACAGACAGGAGCTGTCCCAGCAGACAGAACGCCATGGAGTACCAGACACTGTACTGCAACCAGCCTATTCCATTGTGCATCATTACACAAGTCGGTGTTGCTATAAACATGTCGAACTAGCACACAAGACCAGCACAGAGGTACCAAGTTTGATCCACTGGTCACATAACTGAAGGTAAATCCACACAAAATGTCAATACAATAATTTATTCCAGGAGAAAATAAGAATTATTATAGTTTTTTTAATAACTCAAGGGACTGTAAAAGATATTGTAAGAAGTAGAATTATTCCTCAGGCCCCGGTTGTTCAAATGTTGGATAGCGTTATCCACTGGATAGATCACTATCCAGTGGACAAGTATTTATGAAAACAATTGCGTTATCCACTGGATAGATTATTATCTAGTGGATAGTGCTATCCAACAGTTGAACTGGAAGGGGCAAAGGAGAAAGGTGGCATGGGGGTGACAAAGAAAGAAGAGAGGGGAAAGTGGCCAGCACAGAGTGAGAATAAGGAAAGGTGATATGGAGAGGTAAGGGGGAATCATGAAGGGGATAGGGGAAAGGTGTCATTAGAAAGAAAAGAGGCAGGTGTCATCAAGACAGTGAAGTTGGAGGGTGTATAGACGATTTAAGGAGAGAAGGGGTGCCCTTCATTTACTTGAGAAAATCCCAATTGAAAAAGTGTGGTGGGTCCTTTCCAACAGGGTCAAACTTTATCGACAAGACTCTCAACCAGGTGGTTTGTGCAAATGGTGAGCATACAATGAATCATGGAGAGGGAAAGACAAGGTGTCATGGAGAAGAAAGAGAGAAGTTGTCATAAAGAGGGTAGGAGGAAGGTGTCATGGAGAGGAAAGGGGCATGTGTTATGAGAGAAGAGGCAGAGGGTGTCCTGAAGAGAGAAGGAGGAAGGTGTTGTAGAGATCGAAGGAAGGATGAAATTAAAGCGGTCATGAATATGTGGTGGAGAGGTAAGGAGAGGTAAAGGAGAGACTTCAACACAGGGATTATGCTTTCTTACAAATCATAATTTAGTAATATGGATTTCTCCGTGTTCCCATCCTGTTAAGAATTAGGTGCTGGAGTCGGGGCTAATACAAATCACCACCCAATGAGATGATTATTGGTCAATTGCTAGTACAATAAAAATATCACTTCTGCAGTCTGTTACTGAATCACATGTATAGGTTAAAATCAATCATAACAGATTCTTACCTATGTGGGGAAGAAGTAAGTTGTTTTTCTACATCAGAGAATGATAGGCAAAAATACTTCACAGCACTTGTACCTGTTTCAATAGTAAACAGTACATTCAGGGTGCAAAGAAAATCATTTTTACAGCTTGCCATTCGGGCAAGCTGAAGCTAGCATTTACTAGCCCAGACGTCATTTCAACTAGCCCCAAAAGCTTTTCGTCGAGCAAAATTGATTTCACACTTCTTCTGTTATTCAAATTCCTCAAAGAACATCACTTAGCCGTCGGGCAAGTTAAAAACAGAATTCACTAGCCCGATAGCAAAATCCACTAGCCCTAGGCTATCGGACACTACTTTCTTTGCACGCTGACATTAAATTCTTTAAATCTATTTTACAATATAGCTCCATCAATACAGCCACTAATGGGCCATGAGAATTTGGCTGTATACAGGGGGGACATCCCTGTATATCCCACTGTAACAAGGGACCAAATTAGCAGCATAGGGTCATATATACATTTAGTAGCTGCTTTCTTTTCTTGTTTGGATTGTAAGGGTCCTATTACATAGTTGAATATAGAAAGAAACTGTTTATTTTTGAAGAAAACAATATGAAATTTCACAGACTTCAAATAATTTAAAAGAAATCTTGAGCAAGACAAATATTGTGATACAAATAAATGAATGGTGAACAGCCTTTAAACCTTCTTCTGCAAATGTAGACATCCTCATTGTAATCCTCAATATTGTTTTACAAGAGTTTTTCCTTTCTTTCTTGTGTGCCCTTAAAAGGCAAATTTTGTTGGAGTGGCTGTGTTAACGAAGTCAATTTATAAAGTCAATTTATAAAGGAATACACATGGTGGATTTCAGAATGTAGATGCTGATCACACTTATGGAGTTTCCCCGAAGAAAATGTATGACTGTTTTGTTGGAACAAATCAAAGTGGACATAGCATGGAGTTGACAGTATAAATAAAGAGGCCATATGGTGGGTTCCTGTTGGATACAGTGGAACCTCAATATAACGACCTCTACATGTATATAACAAACTATTTTCTTGACCCCAGTAACAGTAATATATATGAAATAACCTCGATATTACGAAACCTCGTTATAGCAAACTGATTTTGTCAGTCCCTTGGCCTTGAAGTTGTTATATCGAGGTGCCAGAGTATCTGGCTTTAAAGGGGCTGTGTCACAGCAGTCCAGTTCATTTTGTTTTATTTTGCCAATTACTCGCCCTCAATCGCTATGAAACTTAAAGTAAGCAAAGAAATTACATGTAAATGACAAAATCAGAGATCCGAGACAAACAAATATGTCTCCTGAGCATTATTTTTGAAGTTGCAAGTAGCAGGGATCAACTTTGAAAAACTGTTAGGCTGAACAGTTTTCAAAAACCCTAATTTCAATCCGTTTCAATCTTTTTCAGTTTTGCCCATCCGTGGCATCTGTTGTTTCTGTTATGTTATTTTAACCTTCCTTTAAAGTTTTAAGCAGTTATTTTTATGTTTCTCTTAATTTAACAGGCATTTTGCAATTTCCTAATTTGGCTGAATTTCGTGACACAGCTCCTTTAATGCCATGAAAAGTAGAGAGTGTTCAAGAAATTCATTTGTAAGATATTACCATGTTTCTCCACAAGCAATCTAAGAACCTCTTCAACTGCTTTTCTTGATTGGTTATCTCTGGAAAAGATCAACAAAAATCTCAGAGACAGCTTTGTAGAGTACATTGCTCACTATGATAATCATGGCAAAATTAAAGATTTTCTGGAAGTGGATTGCTAATTTGGAGGCAATAAAATTCATTTTCCAAATTGAAAGCAGCTCTACAAAGAGGCATTATCTTTCTGACTCCAGTCAGAAGTTTGCTCCACTCAACTAAAATGGTTATCTTTTCAAAAGTGAGAAGAGNACGAAGACTTTTCTTTGTCACCCGTCTACTATTTGCCTCCATCACAAAAAAATTGTTTTTTTTTAAAAAAAGGAGAAGGTTTTTTTTTTCTCTCTAAAAATACAAAACCGTTTTTTTCGTTCTCGCTCCCCCCCCCCCCCCCCCCCCCCCCCTTCAACCTTCTGCCATTGCATCAGAGGTGGATTCACAAAGTCCTACTAAATCAAGTTACACCTAAAAGTATTGTCTTGTAACAAGAGTCTGTTATTGAGGAACAATATTAAGATAAACCTAATTACAGCAGGCTTTATGGACTCACTCCTAGGGCTTGCTAAGAAGTAGGAGTTAAGTTACTATTGGTTATGTATACCTAGGGGTCAAATTAATAAAACTTTTATACTTGTAATTTACAAGTGTAGCTATTGTTTAAGAGCCTAAAAACAACAGCTACACTTGTAAATTACACTTGTAAAAGTGTTATTAAATTGACTCCTGCATGGAGATGGCATTCCCTGGGACATAGCTTTAATGGAAGCCATATGGAGATTTTTTTGGAAAATGTCATAGACATGTTATGCCTAAGGTATAATTAAGGTTTTCCCCTCATCCATTAGTGGTCATTAACCACATTCCTTACTGGCAGTCAAAGACTAACCAGTTATTGAAACAACAAGAATATCAATTACCTGTAACAGTGCAAAGTCAAGTAAATCAGTTTGATCACTGCTTTCACTCCAGCCTCAGAAAAATCTACAAAATAGAAGAAATTAACACTATGTCTTGCCTCAAAAATCCTATTCACCTAGCCACCTCTACATAATATTTTGCTCCTCTTCTATATCAGATCAAGACTAAAATTGGACTAATTTCAGGGATGTAGATAGTAGCCGGGAGCCGGGGAAAATACCGGACTCTCAACGTATTTTTTCTGGCTGATAAAAATTGCAACTGTTTTCTTCTCATATCACATGCCTATCAAATGCCATTTCCCGTCTGTTATAAATTTAAGCTACATCCCTGGTCACTTAAGACTAGTAAAGGCTCCAGTTGTTCAAACATTGGATAGCAATATCCACCCGATAAATCACTATCCAGTGCATAAGTGTTGGGGAAACCAATAACAATTATTATTGCACTATCCACTGGATAGTATTATCCACCTTTTGAACAACTGGTGCCAGTAGTAGGTCTTCATTACTATAAAACAGGCTCAGTTGTTGAAACGTTTGACAGACCTTTCCAAAAGATAAATATTTATCTACTAGAAAAACGTCCGCTCAGGAAAATGAACTCCCTACCTCCCCCCTCCAGCATGAACAACTGTAAAATATTTGCAGGTAACTTATGCATTTTTATTACACTAACTTACACTAAATAAATAAATTGATAGAACTGACGACAAAATTAGTTTTTGAGACAGGAAAGAAGCACACCTTTAAAACAATCGAAAATTCCTTTCCTCATTTTTGGTGGTGCAATACCTTCATATGGACCACGTGACAACCAACGCATAACAACAACATCGTCTGTTTGTGTATTACTTAATGACCGTATGCACGCGATCTTACAATAATTCTATAGCATGATAAAACTCTATCAAATTAATACAATTCAAGGAACAATGGCCCGTAAAATCATGGTATCAGAAAGGAATATTACTCACCATCTCTTTTGATGCAAGGGACGAGGAGTTCTTCGCAAATATATCTCCTTTCTTTAGTGCTAGATGTTGTTATCTTGACGGCACACTTCTTGAGGATTTCAATTACCTATAAAAATAACCAAAATCATTCAGAAAAATGGATAGAAAACAAATTCAGGGCACTTAACAGGTTGAAAATTGAGACTCTCGAAAAAAGGTACCTCTGCCGCCATCTTGGACACGTACTTGTTGAGCCTGTTATCAATTCGGACTGAGGCTCAATACTACTTCATGTAAAGTGTATTGCATTCGCTCCTTCCCAATCCCCCTCATTCAAGTGTCAAAATGGCGGCAAGGGAAGAGGAAGAGATGACATCGAAATGGCAAAATCGTTTACCTGATCACTCAGTTTTTAGAGAACTTCGCAACAAAGAGGAAGATAATAGCTTGCAAACAGCAGAAGATGCTAAAGAGAGTAAAACGAAGAATATTTTTCTCGAGAATGACGGTGAATTATTTGTGTGGAATTCGGCTAAAAGCAGCTTGCTGACTGCAAACCTTAAGAACCTCCATTTTGATAATGAACGCGCTGATAAATTCCAAGTAAATGAACACTGTATTTCTTATTTCATTGATTGATTGTTTGTTTGATCGATTGATTGATTTACTGACTGACTGATTTGTTGACTGATTGATCGACTGATTGATTGACAGATTGATTGATTGATTGATTGATTGGTCTACTGATTGAATGATTGGTTGATTGAATGATTGATTGACTAACTGATTAATTGATTGGTAAATTGATTGACTGATTTGCAAAGTGGCACTCTGATCTTCTAGAATTAAAAAAGCTGTAGTTTGGCTTTAATAACTAATGTAAATAATCATTAGTGGTAGCAAAGTGATAAGCTGACTGAATGATGCATTGACTTCTTGAAAACATTGATTTTTGTCAACAGACCTTTGTTTGCACCGAAGCCCCTCTATTTGACGTGGATTCTATGCTGTTCAGCCCATCCTCCAAGTATCTTGCTCTCATAGGAGAAAGAGGAATAGTAGTTCTTGAGATGCCGATTAGATGGGGCAAGTTTGCTGAATATGATGGTGGAGAACCATCAGTTATGTGCAGGTAATCTTTACCTAGGACGAGCTCCAACATCCTTAGGAGAAACTTCATTATTATAAATTGGAGGGGGCTAGGGTTTCCCTCTTTCTCCACTGCCCACTGCCCCTTCCCCCATAAATCTACAGACATTGGTGGTCCCAGGAGCCATCGGGTACCTTGAATGAATTGTCCAACCCAAGTGACTTTTGATAAATTTCTTGGTTCTCCCTGCAAAAAAAAATGCCCTTTGCCACAATGGAAGAATTTGACCTGAGTTCAAAAGTCAGTCAGGGCCTTTTTTCATGCATACCATCTATGAGAGGTTTACTGTAGCTTAAGGAAATTCCTTGGAAATATTCAAATTTCATTCCATTGAAGCACTGTATGTGATACTGATTATTTTGTTATTTTTAAAAAATTACTAATAATGGTAAACATGAACAGTCTGCACTGTTCATTTCGGACAATAATATTATCATTAAGATACATTGTACAGCAGAAAATAATTTATTCAGAAATAATAAAAAAGACTCACCTACAAATGAACTTAATGGCTGTTTTCCTTTTAGCCTTTTCATCACCATTTTCTGTAATAATAATTTTTCTCCTTTTTAGAACAATTCCAGTTGATGCAAGATTCTTTGTTACTCACCAAAAGATCAAAGTTCTTGATGTTAAGTGGCACCCTGGAAGCCACACAGACGTTCACCTTATGGTTCTTACATCAGATAATAATTTGAGGTATTGTCCTTGGTGCTAATGTTGAAGATCAAAGTGAAATTCAAGTTAAAATGGTTTCAATCAACAGTAGGTTTATTTCCAGTTTCCTTTGTTTCTTACACCCTAATTATTTATCATCAGGAATAATTAGGGATGGGAGACAAAGGAAAATAAAAATTGAGAATCAATGTAGGTTGAAATCATTTTAATCTGATTTTTGTTTACCTACAACACTTATATTTTCTTTATGTTAAACCTTCAAATCCAATATTACTTTTCTTCTCCTAAAACATTTTCCATTAAAACTAGTTATGAGAAGTGGAAGTATAAATATGAAAGTATCTTAGCGGCCATTCCATTGTAGTGTTCCGGAACACACACCCATACATGTGTACCTCTTCCACTGAGTCTGTGTGGTTTGCTTCAAACACTCCATTGCAGTCACATTACTTTGCTTCCTAGCCTTATAGTAATTCAGGATTAATAAGGGCTCTGAGACAATGGAAATTGAGAGTCAACCTACATGTAGGTTGAAAAATGCAAACTCAACCTTTTGAAAAATTATTATAACCTGAATTTAATATCCTTTGTAATTCACACTTGGCTCTCACAATGAGAGGAACAAAACAAAAGAAATGAATTATTATAATTTATCACTGTATCTCAATGTATTTTCTTTTGTTTATACCCCTCAGCCTTGAAGCCAAGTATGAATTTTAATACATGTAATTATTTCAAAAGTGGCCTATTTCAACCTATAACATAATAAGTAAAAAAAATTGAAATAAAATTATTTATCCATACATTTTCTTTGTTACTGTCCATTTGTATCATATACAGACTCTACAATGTACTTAAACCAACTTCTCCAGAAGAACTAATTCCATTAGGAGAATCTTCGTCAATGACTGCAGAGTACAGCAGAAAGTCCATGTCTGTTGGTTCAATGTCATCATTTGCAGCAGCCCTTGGAGAAACTGCCATTGCCTTTGATTTTGCACCAGCTGTTAATGTTGTTGATTTGAAAGGAAGCTACAGATCTAGTGAAACTGATGCAGAAGTAGCCCATCCTATCTTTATTCTGAGAGAAAATGGAGACATCTACTACCTTGTTCACAAAATTTCCTCAAGCAGGTGTGTTGTCTTTGACTGACTGTTGTTTGACTCTCTCCCTGTTAGTCCCCTGGGGAACATTATTTTCTCAAAAGTCCCGGTTTGCAGTCAGTCAGGCCCAAAATCAAATATTCAGATATTGAAATATAGGGAATAAATGTACAGGCCCTGGCTAGCAAACTTCCACATTTTGTTTCATATTAACTGATAGTTTTATCATGTTTGATGCCAACCTATTGAAACCTCTATCTTGCATGTAAACAACAACACCTTTGCGGGCCCGTTAATGATCAGGACTTTCGAGAAAGGCGCCCCAGGTGCCAGTTGTTCAATAGGTGGATGGCGCTATCCACCAGATGAATCCCTCTCCAGCGGATAGCACAATATTTGTTTTCCTAATACTTATCCACTGGATAGTGATTTATCCAGTGGATAGCCTATTTTACCTTTTGAACAATTGTGGCCTGACATTATTTTTAACTTTAAGTAGGTAATATTACTAATGCAATGTAATGAACTTTGTAATGTATCATGCGTGATTTAAATTCAACAATTATTTGAAACTACGGAACACTGATGATGTCAGATGTACTGTCAAAACATGTCTGGAAAATTAAAGAAGGATGTATTGTTTCTGTGTCTGTGTTAATCCTTTGAGTCCAAAGTAACCAAGATCAATTTTCTCCTTACATTAGCAGTAAATTATCAAGAGAAAAGGTTATCAGAGTTCATAAAACGATCATCTAAGGGAAAATGCTTAATGATCAGCCTTTTATCAAATTCTCTCAGCTTAATCTTTTAGGCAATGCATGAAGATCAATATGGAGAATTTGTATGTGAATATTAGGGCTTAAAGAGTTATAATTTGGCAACACAAAATAGTTTAGGAAATATAATATTATTTCCTTTCAGGCATCAACTAGCACAGGTGAATGGCCCATTGTCTATGTATCCCGCGGCAGATGATAATTACGGACTGGATGCCTGCTCTCTGCTCTGTCTACATTCCCAGCCTCCCATTGTTGCCATGGGAACAGGGAGTGGAAAAATTTATCACTGTATTGTTCTAGAATCAGAAGAGGCTTTCGACCCTGAAGAGGTTAGTTTTGAAATGGCAGATTCTTGGTCACTTTCTTATTGGGCTTTGTTATTGGTTTTTACACCAAAACAGCATTGGGTGTCTTCTGTTTAGAGAAGAAGGTAATATGGTGCAAAATTAGAAAATAGATGTGACTGTCTGAAGAGTTTTGTTTGAGGTTGTAGTTTTTGCTAGGCAATCGCAACCTTTGTGCTGAGTTACACAGAAGTGTTTTTAAAACCCTAGGTTTTAGCCTGGCTGGCCGTAAGGGTTAGAAGGTTACAACTTTTGTTGTAAATTGAATTTGCTTTAGGAAATTGCGTCTTGGAACAGACATGGAGTTGACACAACTGATGATAGTCATCCCAAGCTTTCTCTTTATGTTAATGAATGCATTGAGCTGCAGATGTCTATCTTGCCTGATACAACAGAATCTCAGTCAGATAGGAGTTCTACTGAAGATGATTCAGATGAAAACGAAGACCCATTAGTTTTGAGACTACAACAAGGTATAAAGCTGTTCGAAACTAATTGTGAAATGTTCACTATAGGTCGTGGTTTTTACTAGTTTTCCATCATCATTTCATTATCACACCAGCGTGCAAAGAAAGTCATGTCCGATAGCCCAGGGCTAGTGGATTTTGCTATCGGGCTAGTGTTTTTTGTTCTTAACTTGTCTAGTGGGCAAGTGCTGTTTTTTGGGGAAATTCAAATTACAGAAGGATTATTATCAATCCTGCTAATCAAAAAGGGTTTTGGGGCTAGTAGAAATGACTTGTGGGCTAGTATATGCTATCTAAAGCTTGCCTGAATGGCAGGCTGTAAAACTGATTTTCTTTGCACCCTGCACACCCACCACCATTAACATTTTTATCATCATCATCATCATCATCAGCAACAGCGTCATTATTTTATGTTATCAAACACTTGTCTATTAGCATATGTTTCACTCTGTAATAGTGTTTTGGACGACCAAATTACTGTATCCCATCTTCTATCAACCAGTTATTCTTTACCTGAGAAAAGGCATAATAATTTAATAATAATTTATTGAGGCTGCCTCTGCTAGAAGAGAATAATCCATTAATTATTTTTTTAGATTTATTTTTACATGTTTCCTTCCAGATCCAGCGTCTCCTTACCAATATCACTGTTCACACAGAAACGGCATACACACGGTATCCCTGCCATGGGTTAAGAAACTACAAGGTTTCTGTGCACAAGGTAATAAATGTATAAACTTGCTCACAGGTTAATTTCTTTGAGCTACCAATTTTGCATAAACCGGTAATGAAATAGTAAGAAGTGACTGATGACCCTACCCAAATGGATCTTTAAAAAGTCTATGTAATGTAATGTAACAGTAGTTTCTTGTTCTCACTACACTACCCTTGCTCCCAGAAGTTTTCTCTTTGGATAATTTCATTATTTGCTGTTCATTGCAGTACAGGCTGATGAAAAAGGCCCTTTAAAACTTTCTTATACTCTTACTCTCAAATTAAGCCTTTGTTCTACAAACAAACAAATGGAAATTAGAAGACAATCAGTTACTAAAGTTGATCAGAATTCAATGGTCAACAGCACAATCTTTCCTGATGGATATCAAAGTAGTAGTTTCATATATTCTCTTTTATAGATGGTCAGAGTAATTTTGATCCTGATGAAGCAGCCATAATATATCACATGATCTGTACATCCCCAGCAGGATCAAGGTACTTACTTAGACTTTATTTACTTTTCGTAATATCCATACCTGTCTCCCCTGTTTTTTCCTGTTTGTCCCTTTTATCTTTGTCAATTTAACAAATCAACAACAATAATATGTTTTGAACATGGTCTATACTCTAATTTAGACGTAAAAATAGTGTCCTCAATTAGTACTTTTGTGCTCAATACCTTAACACTCAGTTTAAGTGCTCTTTTTTTCAAGGTGTATGTGCATTCATTTTGGTTATGCTTGTACTCTTGCAGTTCATCATCTCCAGTATTAGGTGTTTGTGTGGTAAACAGTAGAATCCTTGGCTCCTCAATGCTTTGTTTGACTTCAGACATGGAATGTATTGTTAGACCTTTGAGGTAAGCAGGAAAGTGATCACAAGTAAGTAGAGCACAGATAATTTATAGATTGGACACGTGAACAAGAGTCATCTTGTGAAGACCTGTAGAAGGACCAGAATTCCTCCAGTGATTAATTCAGTCATTATTTTCACTTTTTTACTTTGCTCTGCTTAATTACATATCGCTGCCGAGTCAAAGTTGGTATAACAGCTGATGTTTTCCTATGTTTGTCTGTAGTCTACTTAGCAGGGTGCCCTCTCCTCCAACAATAGAAACAGATCAAGAGAAAAGTTATGAAAGGTCAGCTTGATGCATCTTCCTTGTTTATTTTGTATTGTGACTATAATAAGGAACTCGAGAGTTTTAAAGATCCATATGTAACTTTCCTTTAGAGTGAAAAGCCCCAGTGGATTATCATTTAGTAATGATTGTTCTGTTTCAATTTTGGTTCAAATTTATATTTTCCTTTGTTTCAAACCTGTCATTTGGCAGTACCATGGTAACAGCAGTCACCTCGACAACAGTCATCATGACTGCAGTCAACATGATTTAAGTTACCATGCATGACAGTGGTTACCATGACAGTAGTCACCTGTTACTAATATGACCAAAGTTAATAATAATAATAATAATAACAATAATAATGGCATTATTCAAAAGAATCCACGAGGTGGCTCTTCTTCTTTTGAATCTATCTGAACTAGCTATCTAGCAAAAAAGAAAATTTACTAATACAATGTACATTAAAAGTAGATATAAAGAACTTCAAGGTTCAAGACTTGGATGTCACGTCATGGTGGTTTATCTAGTTTGTTTGATCTGATCATTGCTCTGATAGATTTTTGTCCCACTACATTTCCCCTTTCCTTTAAAGTCTTGAAACACTTCCAAATTCTTCTTTGATGAGGAATGCAGTATTAAAACCTGAACTAAAATACATTACAGATAAATTAAACTATATTACTTTTAATGTCAATCATATATTTTAATAATATTAATCTACTGGGCAGTTTTCATGCCAACAATTTAGATTTTTGTTTTCTTCTTTTTAACAGTGCTGGCTTTTCACCAATAAGACAATTGAATGTAGGATTATTTAAAACCCAGATTCAACAGATTTTAACAAGAAACACATCAACACCCCTGTTAAGGTGGGTTTATGATTTGTGAATAGCATACAGTGTAACTGTTTGGAAATATAAGGGAGGTAATGGCTAAAAGGAATTAATTTGAATTTCAGAGTGCATTACATAATTATTATACAAAGAAAAATGAGATTGCAGCAGGTAGCTATAGCTAGCTGAGGGTAACTGCAGGTTGCACATAAAAACACATTTCCAGCATGACATAAAGAATTTTGTAAAAAGAATGAATGAAGGTTAACAATGGAATATTACCCACTGCATCTCTCACATCAAGTCTATGCACTTCTTAACTTAGTGTATAGTAAACACTTTCGTAATCCTAGAGGTCACTCCATGGGGATACTCCAGAAATATGTCACAGGGAAATGCAAATAATGGAGTCATAAATTGAAACTTAAAATAGCAGTACTTTCTAGAATCTCCCAGTCACCATAAATGAAAATCCGGAGGAGCTCCCCTTCCCTTCTCTCCCCAGGGAGGATTTTACACACAAGTGATTTCTCAGTAAAGATCAGTTATTCCACTATGGTGTAGCCTACTACAATTGTAATAGTGCAGCCATGCAGTAAGTGATGCAAAACATGTGCACACACCTTAACTTACGAAGAACGTGCACACGCGTGGCTTGTTTTATTTTCACAATGTCCTGTCTATCTGAGAGCCAGCTGGCACACGGTGACTATAGTGTCGTTTTTTCCTAAGTAGACAAGAGCAGGAATGTTAAATGTATGTACCACCGACTCAATAGTCAGACCTAAATTGTCCTCACTGTGAAAGCCACGGTTTATTCAACTTAGATTTGTTATTCTCTGTAGAGCTGGTGAGGAGTCAGAAAAGCTTTCACAGGAGGACTGTTTTCAGTTGCTTATTCAAGCACAAGAAATTTTAAGGAAAGAGTACATTCAGAAACAGAACAAAGCCAGGGAAGAAATAGAAAAAAGGTAAAGGCATTTTGTTTCTAAACTTTCAAAATAATTTAACAACAGAGACTTGACAGGGGTGAGATGAAAATCTTAACAAAAAAGGGGTTCCCTTTTACTAGTGACTAGTACCCAGCCCAGAGCAGTTGCACGGTACTACCATCCTTTTTTCGCAAACATTACTTCATATGGGCATATTTTACTTGCCCATTGGACTGCTTGTGATTAAAACATGCTAGCCCATGCCAATGGGTTGCTCTATTAGCCTAGGCTACTAGATGGTACAACTTTTAAGTTAAAAGTATTTAGCCAATATACACTGCCCTGCTCCTACCAAGGTGACAGCCACAAAACTTAAAATTGACCAACACAAGCCCTACATGTATCATTGTGGTTTTATAACATTTGAATGTAAGACTTTTTAAACAGTCATAATAAATGTAAAATGTTTTGAACAGTCGCTTACATAAGTTATTGCAGGGACTATATGAGACCTTATTTCCACAGTTTTGAACATTTTGTATATATTGTAGATTTCCACTATAACTAATATACTGTATTTATTGCGTGGTAGGTTTTCTCTCTTTATATTGTTAATATTCTTATCGCAATAGTTAGTATTAGCCAGTTAATTTTATAATTTTTTGAAAAGCCGCTTCAGGAAAGATAATAAAATATGTATGTTTGTATAAACGTATGTATATGGGTATGGTTGAACACAAAAATGACTTAAAAGAGTTTGTTCATTTTAGATTGTAAGATTAACACAAGAAATTGTGGGAACAGTGAAAAGAGTCATACTCTTTATCATTTTGATAAAGCTACGTAATCAAGTACTTGCAAGGTCTAATTTTATTTGAAATTAGTTCTTGCAAGTAAATGATTTAAATTATTTAATTTAAATCGTCTTTTTCTCAGAATTTCCATACTTAAGGATCAAAAAGAGAAACAGAAGCAACACTTGGATAAACTGCAGAGCACCAGTAAAGAGCTCAAAGAACAAACAGAAATGCTTGGAGAGAAACTGGTGGATGTGTCTGAAACTTATCAGAACCTTCTGGGCAGGTACCTCTAATTCACATAGTCTACATTTATTATTAAAGAATTTGTTGAGAAAATTTGATCAAAGATGAAGGCATTTTCCCTGTGGTGATCATTTTATTAATTCTCATAATTTTTTATGGATATTGTCAGAAGAAAATTGACATTCCTCACTGTTAAGCCTTAAATGGTTCAAGTTTGGAATAGACCTTGTCACGGGTTTCAACGCCATCTTGATGAGTAGGCAAACTTGTGAGAAATTACAGTGTTTGTATGAGAATCTCATGTCGAATAATTTCCATAGTACGGCTGTTCTGAAAGAAATATGAATTGTAAACTAAAGCTTCACTCCTAAGGATTCTACTGAAAAAAACTAAGGGTGTTATATGCGTTAGTTGAAGACCTAGAACCACTTTTTAAAATTTTCTATGCATTTGTCTGTGAGAAAGTCGCACGAAAAATTACAGACAAATAAATGGGAAATCTAAGGCAAGCCTCTGGAGAAATTTAAGCAGAGGTAAAGTCCTTTGTTTTGTAGTTTTAGTTTACAAGTTACATTTTTTCAAGAACAGCTGTTTTACAGAAATTATTCGACATAAGATTCTCATTCAAACACTGTAATTTCTCACACGTTTGCCTACTCGTCAAGATGGCGTCGAAAACCGTGACAAGGTCTATTTTTAAAGCATTTGCTCCCCTCTTCTAATTTTAGAATTGTATAATAATAATCATTCCTTTCATCTTCCGATAATTATTATAGGAAGATGAATGGAAAGATTTGGGCAACCTTGCAGCTCTTGTAAGACCTCACAGGATTGGTTGGGAAAAGAATGAACAAACAAAGTTAACAATAGAGCTTAGCCTAAAAACAAAAGAGCTGTAACCCATAGAGGTCAACTTAAATTTGGGGTTCTGAAGAGCTGCAAGTCTACAGAAAGATTTACAATGTATGCTACATTGATTGTTAAGGTTAAGGAGTGGAAACAAATCTTTGCATTTTATCTTCACAGACTTGAAGGTCTATACAAATACATACACAATGGTATCTCTGTGTTGTCCCTTGCTGAGACTAAGATGAAAAAAGAGTTAGAAGAGATTGAAACATTTTTAAAATTCCACAAAGAATCACTGCAACAAGTGAGAATTTTCATGAGTGGTCAAGTTGTTGATTATTAGAGCGGTTTACACTTGACTGTCGAAAGTAATTGAGGAATTGGTTTGGTTTTGGTTTTACTACGCCCTTTGGTTGGCTAGTGTATTTACTTTGGTTTTGGTTTTACAACAGTCAAGTGAAAACCGCTCTATAATCATAATATTTTTAGTAATGTCATGATCATACTAATGATACAGTTAGTAGCAATATTATAATGTATAATCATGCTCACTTCAAGATAAACACTCACCATCTTAACACTCAACCAGGCTTTTCAAGTAAACTCCCACTAGTTTTGATAACAGTGACTCTTGTTGTTTGAGAGGAGTGTTGTGCAAAACGCCACTTACACGGTGGGGGTGGGGTACTCTGAATCCTAAGTTATGGGGATGACTGCGTAGGGGAAAGGACAAATCCAAACAAAACCTGCAGGATTTTCCAAAAAAATGTTTCAAAAATCCTGAACCCAAAAGCTCTTATGACAAATGTCTGTCCCTCACAAATTCACTACAGCAAAATGGGAATTCCTGTAACAATAAAGCCAGGCAATAAACACAATAAATAATAAATAATCTACAGTCAACTCTCTTTAAGATGGACACCTTTGGGACTGTCACTAATTGTCCATCTATGGAGTAATGTCCATCTTATAGACAGTCAGCTAAAGGGAGTAATGAGCTAAAGGGAGTAATGAGGCACCAACTCAAGGTGTGTTTTACTGAGGTATCCTTCTTATCGAGGTGTCTGCTAAGAAAGAGTCAACTGTATTAGACTTTATTGAAACCCTGTTGGAAACATGTGGGAGCATAACAAGGATAGCCTTCCTTAGATCTTTGTGGTGGAGCTCTGACTATTGATTTATGTTTATTCTTGCTTGTTACAGATTAAAGCCAAAAGGTCATATTCATTGAGAAAGAGTCCAAGAAAATCAATGTCACCCTCAAAGTTACCAGTAGTCAGTGCTTCGCAGCAAAGGAACATTAAAAAAATAATGACAGAAGAGTAAGTTAATATCAACAATGATTATAGACTTCAGCTTATCTTTGAGTTAGACTTGTCATCCATTTATCAAATGAGAGGGGCAGTGTTGACAAGTGGTTAAAGCTTCAGATGTGTGATCCAAAGGTCTCATGATCCAGGCTTTAATCTTGTCCTTACCTCTTATAACCTCTAGTTTAATATATTTACATAACCTTTCTCCTTTGCTACAACTATATTTGCAGGCTGTGTATGTATTTATTTTGTAACTAAGATTTGGAAAATAAGAAAGTTATTTTTTGTATTTTTATATCTTTTAGGAGTGATATGATCACAGACCTTGTAAATCAAGTCAAAGAACTAAAAGTGCAAGTTGGGTTGTAGGTCTATGTTGTCTGTACATTAAAAAAAGAGTACTATTCCTTTTGGATTACTCAGCGTGGAAAGCGATTTCATAAGCTGATGCAAATTTTGCATGTGAAAATCTAGCCATGGCAGGTACTTACAGAGGAAGACGAAGAGGAAAAATTGGGTATCCCCAAGAATGTGAAGGGTACTTTTATATATACCCTTCTTTGGCTCTTCCCTTCTATTTCAACTACTTACCTGGCAGTCTTTTTATAATGCTAAACTTGATTATGATTCTCAGCAAACTGTGGTAGTCGAACGAGGCCATGAGACTAAAAGTGATTAATCTGATGTTCAGATACTGAGAAGTCTCCCTTGGAGTTGTTTTTGCAAGACAAAAACGGCTGCATGGGAGACTAGATACTGAAAACTGAGTTTAAAACATGAGACACAGCAAAGTTCTATGATACCACCTATTGAGTCTTTGATTATTATAGTTTCTAAACTGAGAAATATTTCTTGGAGATAATCTAAACCACACAGGAAAATACAGGCTGAAAACACCTAATTTGGAGAGCTCATACAGAGCTCGTGTAAAAGTATGATAAGAGTCTCATGTAATATATCAAGCATGAGACACAGTGTTTCATCACCAGATAAGACACTGAGAAGAGAGTTGAAAATATGATGTGCAGCAGAGTATTTTTTGCAAATGTTTAGACTTGAAGACATGAGAATTGATCAAAGGTTAGCAGGTACAGTCGACTCTCTCTTAATGGACACCTCTATAAGAGAGACACCTTGGTAAAATGGACACCTAGAGTTGGTCCCTGCCTTTTTTTACTCCTGAACCTATATTTGACTCTCCATAGGACGGATGTCTCTCTTAGATGGACACTTAGTGCTGGTCCTGAAGGTGTGCATCTTAGAGACTGTTGACTGTATTACATGATTCTCTAGTTGAACGAAGGCTAGATAGATACCACTGTCTTGTTAGCCAGCGTAGTTTTAGCTAAGGAAGAGAAGTGCAGGAGACGCAAGGGTGTGAACTAAAGAATGAGGAATCATTCTACCTTTCTGGGAAACTGCCCACCTACTCCTCCCCTAAGCCAATATTAACTCTTAGTGCAAAATGTTGACTTAGGGGAGGGGTAGGTGGGCAGTTTCCCAGAACCGTATAACAATCCAAAATGAGAGTGGAGAGAAGGGCTCCTGATTTAAATTTTTTGCTCCTTTTTACCCTATGTCCTCACACATCTCTTACCCTTCTCCCAGTTGCTTAAAATGAAAAGGGAACAACTGCTACGTAGGATAACCACTGATATGCTCTTAAACTAACACCAGCTCATGAAAAAAGAAGAAAGCTTTTCTCACGGCACATATAATGTGCGCATCTCACAACATGTCTGCATTCTTCTCATCCCAAGAGGTCTTGGCAATTGGGGTCAATCATGATCCTTTGTGGCCTTTTTGTTTAAATGTGGGCATGGCAGTGTGAAATCTTGCAGTTTGACATGATTGCCTGCTAGAAGCGCTTTTCACCCCTCCGACCTCCCCTGATGGCAGTGACCACATCACAAAGCCTTGCTGCATATCTTTGCCAAGGCAGTCGCAGATTTGTCACATAACTTAGTTTGCTGCGATGAGACAATAGATATGCAGTGAGGATAAATTACCAGTGCCACTTGTGTTTCATCATACTGTAAATTAAATTAGAAAGTAGCGGTATATAAGGTTTTGATGTAAAGAGTGTTACAGTATGTATTAACTATCAAGAACTGTTTTATTAAACATTTTGTTTTATACATTATTTTTTGCCCACTGATTTTAGTCTCTACAGCTATAGCAACACTTGAGTGTGATGGAACCTTTTAAAATAACCTGTGAGCAAGCTCTTGCTTGGTTCCTGTACAGCATATTTCCAGGCCTACTTAGTCAATGCATTTCGGTGATGCATCCAAGGCGAAAACCTGCTTGGATCATGTGACCCGAAACGCGTAGGCTGTGCATAATAATGAGGCCTAGGGACTAGACAAAGCAAGCTTCTCACAGGCCACTTCAAAAAATACCATAATATTCTCTAATTGGCCAGTTTGAGAGTATTATGGTATTTTTCAAAGTTGCCTATTAATTTGGAAATCATGAGAGTCTGAGGTTACACCCAAGTAAGTGGCCAAAGTGGAGGGCTTGCTTGTAGGCTACACACCAAACAAGAGAGGTGAATCCTACATACTGGCCACCTGTTCCCCTCTCTGATATTTGGGATCTGAACACTTATTATTTTTACTGGGAATGACACTTTGTCATGAAGATACAGTTTTAAAAGGAACCTTGCCTCCCATAACTAAGTTTGGAGGTAATTTGTCCATATCAATAGATTTAAATGTTCTAGTATCTTTGGGCTTGGCTGTTGTGTAGTAATGAATAACGTCCTGAACACTGCTCATTGTGTTTAACTGACAATTGGGAACCAGGAGTCCAAATTCTTGGTGACATCTGCTAAGAACCTGATGGGAAAAAAATTGGGTGTCAAATAATAATTATGACAAATATTAATGCTAAAAGCAACTGAGCCATATAAAATACTGTGTGGTTTTTAAAAAACTTGACAAAATGCGACAGAATTGCCTCCACTGCAGCAAATAGGGTGCAAAACACAGCTATTGTTGTAAGAAAGACAATGGCCTATAGACTCCAGGTTGCATTTTGCAGGATTAAGATTCATACATATAACTGTATTATTAGATACAGCACATTACTGGATTGATGACAAAATTCAACCATCATTGATAGCAAAACTCTAGTATCCTGATCCTGATATCATGCAAACTTGGCATCTGCTGCTCAGGAAGTACCAAGTCATTTGCCATAACAGGATATCATATCAGACTCAATTTTACCCCTTGAGGTATACCATAAATTTAAAACCAAGTTTTTGGCGACTCTTCCCTTTAGGTGGATCATCCTTTCATATTGCCTCGTATTTGCTTGTGACAAAAAAAGGAAAGATGATTCACTTAGGTCATTATTCAGCCACTCATCTTTTTAATAATATTTATTATATACAGTGGAACCTCAGGAATTTGGTCACCGATGGGCCAAAAAAGAACTGGCTGTATTAAGGGGTGACCATATTAGCAAGGGTTTTTTTACAAGAAAAATAATGTCTGGCTGGGCAGCCAAAAAAAAGAGTGGCCGTAATGACAAAGTGACCATATTACCAAGGTGGCCGTGACGTAGGGTTCCACTGTATACGATAAATCCTCTATTATGCTCCCCAGGGGGCTTATATATTTCAAGTCCAATGAGGCGAGGGGCGGGGGGGGAATAAGCTCAAGTACAAGAAGGGTGGAGTTCATGCAGCCAAGGATCAGAATCAAATCTGACCCTCCAGTGGGAAAATAAACCAACCCAGATCAATTCACACAAAGTTTTACAGTTGTGATTGATTAATACAGTCTATCATTAATTTTATTAGTGAAGAACAATAATAGGGGGGGGGGGGCTTAGTAAAGAGGGGAGGTTTATTAACATTCTTCCACTGAAAAGGGGGGACTTATCAGAGGGTGGGGGCTTATTTGAAAGGGGCAATGATTTTAAGGCTGCAGTGTCTAGATTTCAGATTACCATAACAAGGTCGAATAAAGTTAAATAATCCAGCAGGAGTGCTTTGTCAAGTTTAAACATTAGGCACTGCCTGGTGTTTAAAACCTTACTGAACACAAACTGTTAGTTTACAGCTTTGGCTGTTGTAGATCTATTCATTCTTGCACTAATATTTACTTTAAGATTATTTTTGCCAATGAAATTGGGCATAAAGCTTAGCCATGAAGATAGCAGATATAAAGATATGCAGTAAACATTAATTTGCTTTGTATTTTCCTCATCAAAAATATTAGTTTTTGGGTATTATTTAATAGACCTTTAGTCTCACCTTGTACTTAACCACCAGGTCACTAACTGATTGACTTTCCCACTGATCACGTGTTACATCAGGTACCACTTCAGACACAATGTTTTGAAGTGTATCCAAAATTTCATGTGTTTCCATGCTGTATATTAATGGCTCTTCAACCTTGGCCAGTTGATAATAACTGCAATATTTTAAACAGTACCATAAATACTAACAACAAAAGATGCTTGGTTGCTGTAACTAGCCTGTAGGTTATTGAGTCAGGGCAAGATAGCAACTAAGGGTATTTTTGCAGAAGTGTAAGACTAAGATAACAACTAAATGACTACGATAACAATAATTTACTACAGTATAAACAATGCTATAGATCAGCAGTAAGCAGTTGAAATGTAGCAATCTACATCACACATGACTACATCACGAATTACAGGTAAGAGTGCGGGAATAAAAACTACGCAAAAAGAAACAGTTTCCAACAACTCCTGTAGGATTTGCAGAATTGATTTGAAAATCAGAGGCTGATCTAAGATGAATGTTTTAGACATAACATTATCGTCAGTTCTGTCAAGATTTGATGTAGATGAATACCATGAGGTTATCACAGATAATCTGCCAGAAGTGCGAGTGGGAAGTTTTGAAATTTTGAATCAGAAAAATTCAGGGGAAGGCCCTAAGAAATCAGTTGGCAGATTACCACTTGAAACGACAGAAGCACTGCACGAATGATTCTCCGGTGTCGTGTCTCAACCAAGAGAAAAAAAAATTGGCTTTGCCTGAGCCGCCTAAGCCTATCTGAAGAACACTGATTCCAAATAAAACAACTGAAAAGGAGAATTATGAACTGTGGCACTTTACCACATGTGATTTGCTCTTCAATGGTGGCTAGAAAACCAGAAAGCAGCTGTGACAGAGGTAGGATAGCTTGATGCAGGTGAATGTGAAACAGATGGCATGAAAAGATTATGCATTTTAGCTTCTTTAAGCTAAAACAAATTGCATCATAAAATTAATTAGGCTATTAGCAACACAAACTTTATGATGCGATTTGTTTTTAGCTAAAAGAAGCTAATAGGTGTATTCATGACTATTGCTTGTAATTTATAAATACCAACCCAACAGTTTCTTGGCTCCAGTGGTTCATTTTTCAAATGGCTAACGTGAAAATGGCACTGTACATGTATTTATATTGTTTACCTTTTGGCATGCCATTTGAATCAATTAATTTTGTACTTGCAAAGGAGCAACTGAAATATCATAGACTTTCGATGTCTGGTTGGTAAGATGGCGAACACCACCTTACGATTCAAGGCGACGAACAAAGCTTTCATTTGTTGCTCAGTGAGACTTTCAACCTCAGGAAAGCGTTCATCCAGTACAAAGGTCAAAATTTCTTTAAATATTCATTCGCCAAAATCTAGCGAATCTTCACATTGGTCCAGCAGTATTTTACAAACAATTTTCTGCCCTGGTAGAGAGAGGCAAAATTTACCAAAAAAAAATGAGCTGAGAAATATCCTCAGCATCCCCTGGGTATGGAAAATTAAACAATCAATCAAATTTATTTGGATGTTTGTAAAAATTTCAACCAATCAACACCCAAGGGTCAGATCCTGACTGTGTTGTCTGTGTGAAAGTGAGATTTGCTGCTTCACGACCCGCTCCCTCTTTTGCAGAGAAAATTTTTAAGAAAAAACCTCTGGGACTAGGGTACTTTTCACCTGATGGGAGTGCAGGTAATCTGAGCCAAACGTTTTCAAATGGTAAGTGCACAGAACACAAGGTCAACACACCTTCAAAAAAGAAAATTGGGTGATTTGTGGGGTAAAATTTCTGTTCAGTGGTTGTTTTCATCCAGTCAAGGAAAGCATATCAGAAGTGCTCCAGGGGGAATCTGAAAGTGATTGGAGCTTTCAAGGCAAATTTGAGGCTGTTTTCCTTCAGTAGATCTGCCTCTCAACTCCCTTATGTTGTGGAATGATATTTGGAGAGGAAAACGTAAACCTACAACTCGTTGGAATTGCTTTGAAACAGACCGCAATTGCACAAAAACACAAGTACAGTGGAACCACGATTCAGTGTAGGGCCAAGGGACTGGCCAAATACGTTCACTTAAGCAAGGTTTTGTTATATCGAGGTTCTTTTCCATATATTTTGCTTTAACTGGGGCACAGAATATCATTCGTTATATCAAGGACTTCCTTATAGAGGTGCATCATATTGAGGTTCAACTGTACTACGCAAACGAGGCAAAGCAAGTCACTGCTATCAAATTTCCTTCCCATATGTTATGTTTATTGTTACATTCCTATACAAACTCTAACCTTTATGTGATTAGTAATGACCCCCAAGGAGCTTGGGCTACCTGTGCACAGGAAGGTGCCCTCAAACACAGTACATACGATCACTTGTGGACGGAACAAAAGACGACCTATCACTACTGACTAACTACATGAGAAATTCTCTCATTTACCCTATTAAATGCTGAACATGGTTATATCAGTTACAACAGTAATTTAACAGACTAAGTTGTGTTTTTATGGTGACCCAGAAGACCATGCAATCCCCACCTGTCCATGGTTTCCCCGCTTTCTTCTTGCGGCGCTCCTTCGCCTAAGACAAATTTCTTCATTCTATCAAAAATACGTTCTGTTTTCCTCACATCGGTGCTGAGACACAGCTTCAAAACTGGCTGCGTAACTCGTTTTAGCGTAGCAAGCCTCCACAACCTGGTGGAAGTTACAGACGCCATGTTGGTTTGTGCGATTTACCCATCATGCAATTCTCTCTCTTAGTGCGCGCGAGCGCGGTGCGGGACGCGCAACGCGCGCTTGGCTTTCGAAAGAGGAGCTCGAGAGATTTAATATTGTCAAAAAACTTATTAATTTTCTTTCTTCCAAGTTTTAGAATTAAAACAGTCTAAGTCAATAAATATATAGCTGTTTCAACGTAGGTGATACTTGGACATTGCTAATGACGCAGTGTTTGTTTCTTTGTTTAACTCTTCGTTATAGAACATTTTTTTCGGACGTTCTTTATACCACGCGAGACGAAGCAGCTAACTAAGAGAGATAGCGGGTCACTTTAGCCTGAATGTAGAAATCCCCTATAGCTAATTCCTTGGCTTTCGTCTCTTCAGGACATGAAATAGGAGACCCGCAGGAAGGCTACTTATAAAGTAACCAGAGTAATGGCACAAATCAAGAAGGAATTCAATTTGCATTAGTATAAGTCTTTGTCCTCTAGCTCTCTGTCCAGGTTCTACAAACATGGGGTAGTAACATTGTTGCTGTTTATAAAATATTTTTTTCGGACGTTCTTTATACCACGCGAGACGAAGCAGCTAAATAAGAGAGATAGCAGGTCACTTTAGCCTGAATGTAGAAATCCCCTATAGCTAATTCCTTGGCTTTCGTCTCTTAAGGACATGAATTAGGAGACCCGCAGGAAGGCTACTTATAAAGTAACCAGAGTAATGGCTCAAATCAAGAACGAATTCAATTTACATTCGTATAAGTCTTTGTCCTCTAGCTCTCTGCCAGGTTCTACAAACATGGGGTAGTAACATTGTTGCTGTAAGAAATGGCATTTTTCTTTTCATTTTTGTTGTCCGGTAACTTTAACACACACAAAATCGCAAAAATAGAGTTGTTATCCTCGGCCTCTCCTTCTCTGGAATTTTCTTTAAAAAAAACTTGTTTCATTTAAATTTTAATCAAATTTTCGCAGGAGCCGATTAATCGGCTCCTCATTCACCTCGTTAAGTTTTTTTGTCACGTGAGAAAGGCGTGGGACAATTTTCACTAATTAGTATCTTTTCTCAGAGGAATTCATCGTCGAATTGACTGTTATGAAGTATGTAACTGAAACGCCATTTTCAAACACTAGTGAAAATATGTCTGAAAAAAAGTAAAAAATGCGTGACAATCTTCCTTGTGTGACATTCGATGTCATCCAGCTGTCACAGTTCATCACAAGCCAATCACATTTGCTAAGGTCCCTTGTTAATAATCGTGTTTGGCGTATAAATTATTTTGCAAAACCTGACTCTGGTCTTCTCAGTCGTTGACCGGTCTATACACATGTCTCAGTAAATTAAATTTAATTTTTTTCCTCCTATGCAGCAATCTCGCCATGAAGGCAAAATGAAGCCTGTAGCCTTCTGTTAAAAAGTACGAGTTGTCGACAATAGAAAGTACTGATTTTCACGATGTTATTCCACGCAGAAGATCAGATACTTTTAGATGTACAATTTCACGTACGAGTCGATGAAGCCGGTGCTAACAGTCAAGCATGGCTTTCCCTTTTTCTGAGCATCAACACTCTGTTCAGTGTGTTATTTATTATCGTCGTAACAAAACTGGACGTTCTTCGATCCTGGAAAATCAGAAGCGTGGAAATGAAAATAAAAGTCAGCACTAAACGAGGTAAGACAATTCAAGTTTAATTTAACTGCAACACACCCCGTAGGTTCAAAGCTCAGTTCCGGGCTATAGCTGGTCCAGACGCGATCGATCAAACGATGTCTCGTTGATGATCTCTATTTTACTCCTTCAGAGATTTAGAGAGGAAAAATTTCCGACAATTTTAAGGGAAGACCTTGGCAAATGTACTTTATAGACTTCATAGCGGCTAGGAAATCTTTCATACACAATGCCAATCCCTTTTTAGCGTTCGGCACATGCAAATTTAGAATCATACGATATCTTTCCGGTTTTCCCATTGGTCAATCTCATTTATCGTGATAACGAAAAAAAAATGTAAATATTTTAAAAGATAGTTCAAAATCTATCATTTTTATTTTAAGATCAAGCAAAAACGCTGCAAAACTATGCAGAGTTATGGTTTTAATGGCGTCGCCTGTTAAAGAAAGATTAACAGAGAGACTGATCATCGAAAGCGCGCTTCAAAATAACGACGATAACTTTATAAATTAATTATTTAACAGTTCAGATAAGTTTGCTCGTGAGGATATGGCTTGTCGGTCCCTGCAGGACTTCCGGTTTGGGAGAAGTCAGGCTAGCAAAATATCAGGCATTTTATAATATCCGACGCGAAAACACCATAAAATATATGATTACGTAATTTTAATTGTTTTTGGCAACAAAACCTTGAAATCCACGGGAAAGTACGTCATGCATCAACAATCCTGCGCGAAGAGATTGAATACCAAATAAGCGGTATCAACTGCGATTCCGGGAGAACGTTTCCTTTGCCACCCTAGGCTTACTAAGCGGAAATAGCTCAAGCCGTGATCGTATGATCAAAACTTAGTTCTGCTCGTTGACCCTCGTTGTACTTTGTACATCTTCTTGTACTTTGAACTCTCCAGAGATGCATCTTATTCAAGGCTAAATGTGTTTTCTTTGCATTTTTGGCAAAAGTCATTGTCGATCAAAAGCTTGTTATTATACTGGAACAGATAATACCCAGACAATACAACAGTGACAAGCGTTTAAGTTCCGGGGGTACTCCCTATAATGGCTTATACGGGGAGGCTCCGCCCGAAAGGGGTACCTATTTCAGGCTTCAGGATATGCCATATGAATAGGAGGGGATTTCACTAGTTGATCGAAGTATTTAAAAGGGTAGGAAAATCTGTCATGTTTTAAGGCCCAAAAGGGCTAAAAGATACATTTTATGGCTGTAAAAAAAGTCGAGAGGACGGTCTGGTCTTGAGATTTACTCACATTCAAAAGACAGTGGATTTAAAGCAGTTATTAAAAGGAGTGGAAAGTTATAAACTACTAGGTATATGAAAAGAGGTACTATTTGCCAGTAGAAGTATATAAAAGGCAGGAGTACCTTTTCTGTCTAAGATGTTCTTTAATAAGGGGTTTGACCGCGGGGCCATGAGCCTGTCGGGGCGTAGCCTCTCCTTTTAAAATTTGTCGAGTACCCTTCCCCCCCAGGAAGACGTTTAAGTAAGCACAAGGAAGCAAGAGGCCATGAAATGGTCTGGAATGTAAAAACTCATACATAGTTCCTTAACCCCTATGTATCGATCCCCTGTTGAAGGCCTTTAAGAATTTACAATGAAGAAAGACTACAAATATACCTCGCGCCACTTTATTTTTAGTTTGGGGGTTGCAATATTTGGGTTTCTTTACACGATGCGATAACACGGAGTCCTGCGTAAATTGAATCACCGAACCCAGACAGTCTAAATCCCCCGGGATCCCCGATACAGAGGAGCAATATCCAGGTCTTTTATCTAAATTGTAGGTCTTGATTGACAAGCCCCTCTGCAGCGTGGGCATACAGCTTTCGAAAGGCTTTGTCGCATGTTGTTTCACCTGAATTTTGACTTCGAATAACCGCCCAGATGCATGTTTAAAATTTAGGCTAAAAGAGAGGCGCGTATTGGAAGGGTGGAAGGGGGCGTTAACTTTATTTTGGCCAAACGCAAAGTCAATATTAATATGTTACGTTTGTGAAACAAGTAGTTGGTAGTCAAGCGTACCGTAGTGCCATTAAACGTTTTAAAAACGTAATGTATAGGAAGCCGGCAGCACAGATCCTCATTACAGTCTGTTCTGTAGATTAGTCACGTGCTAAAGCACGTGCAAAATCAACTGAGAGGAGATTCTCAATTATCGGGAGTCGGCTCCTGCAATTATTTAATAAATCACTCAATTATATCTCGCAGGATGCACAAAAATGGTTTATTAATTGTAATCGATGCTATAATGAGTCATCACTGCTGTATTTTTTAAGTTTTTAGCTATATTGGCATTAGAAAAGCAGCTAATTACATCCATCATAGGCGCTGTTAAACACTTCGATAAAATAGCGCGCAATTTTTGCTCACCCAAATTTATCCTAGGTAACTTAGAAATATATGGAAAAGAAGCCTGGAGAAGAACCTCGATATAGCGAAACATCCTCATTTTGAACATATTTTGCCAGTCCCTTGGCCCTTCTTTTTATCGAGGTTTGAGTTAATCAATGCAGTTTGCTTCAGTTACGATATTTTTTTCAAGAGAGGATACCCTGATTTTTTAAAATATATTTTCTAAAATTGTTTTCGCCTGTGCCCCTGAGGATAAACAGACCAATGCTAAGCTCGGTCAACAACGGAAGGCAAACCAATCAAGTCTTTCCATAGAAAGCTGGAAACATATTGAAAAAAATATTATTTTAAAAATCTTACAAAAAAGACAAAAGAAAAAATCAAGCCCTGTGAATCTTGTCGAGATGATTTCAATGCACAATGTAAAACTATATATTGAATGTAGCCCAGCCCCTGTTACTCACCAGCGACGTTCCCACCGACGGGGTAAAATGGCACAGGCCCACTCCACCCGCCTGAGAAAAAAATATTCCCATAGTTCATCGCGCCCGCGAGTCGAGGTGGTTCCATGTGCCGAAATATATTGTTGCATCATTTTCAAGCTCTTTTGGCAACCTTGTTCCTATTTTAACGTTAATTCTCAGTGAAAGGATCGACGAAGAAAAATTTCGAAATCCAGTTTTAACCATGTATTGCATTTTACGTGGATCTACAAGGGTAATTTTGTACCGCTCGTCGTGCGCGCGATCTCCACTTGTTGTAAAGTCGAATGTCGTCGCAGAACATTCGCCTATTCTCTACAGCAAGTTTTCTGTGCTTGGAATATATCCTTTGCTTTCACGTAACTATCATACAGCCAGAGGTGAGCTTTTCTGAAACCCAGCGCGAAGCTCAAATTGAACCTATTACCCGACGGTCCGTCTAGCTGTCACGCGATCATCACAGACAGTTTTAATGGCGACCCGAACTTGTTTTGAAAAGTTTAGTGGCTTGCAAACTGCTCTAGATAATCACACGATTAGTCATTCGCCTTCCCGATGTTAGTTGGATTTGTAGCAGATGATTATTTCTCTTGTTTATTGAAGCTCACAAGTACATGATCCTTTCCTCTTTACGTTAGGTGCCCAGAGACTTGGGACAGCCGTGAGAAGCTATTTGGGGACCTTGCGATGGTTTAGTATTCCAGCAAGTGTTGGCTTTGCTTATATTTGTTATCAGCAGTTCTGGCATGTTAAGGAAAGAGAGGAAAGAAGACTCAAATCTGGTGAATTGGTTGCTCAGTGGCAGGTAAGGGATGATTGCGTGACCTTTTTGTGTTGTCACGCAACATATCAATACATTTTTTTAGAAGAACGCCTAATTTAAAGGTTGCGGCTGAGATTGAACATTCCTAGTTTTCTTTTTGTGATTTTAGCCTGAAAATGTTCTCAACATATCCATAAAGGAAAGACATTTTTAGCTACAGACAGAGTTGTTCTTCAGTGGATCACATCAAGAAAACCACATTTTTAACTAAGTATTTGAGTTAATTGTCCTGTTAGACTAAAGTTTCATTTATTTTAGAATTATTTGTACTATCCTAAAGAAATGAGGTGACTCTCAGCCTGGGTGTGTTTTTAGTATGTTCTTAAAATTTTGTATTTAAACATTCATTTAAAAGGAGGTTTTTGGTACAAAAAATGAGTGTGTATTCTACACTGTACACCCTCATAACATTTTCTTCCTTTGAATATGTGGGCTCTCTTTTTGTTTTCAGGTTGCCTTAATGAAGAAGCTACCAACAAGAGCTTTTTCTCGTGTATGGGGTAAATTTTGTGACCTGGATTTACCCCTTTGGTTGCGTAAACCTGTCATTGGAACATTTTCGTGGTATTTTTCCTGTAATGTTGCTGAAGCTGTGGAAGAAGAAATTATTAATTATCCAAGCCTGGGAGCTTTCTTTAGGAGACAACTTAAACCTAACACTAGAAAGATCTGCAAGGCTAGTTCTATTGTAAGTATACTTCAGGCTACATTCAAGTCAACGTGAGTCCGCCAATCACCCCCAACCCCACAAAATTTTTGCAAAAGCCCCATTTCAGGCTAAAAGAAGTACCCCTCTGTGGTTAAGTCAAAAGGTATATTATTCAAGATTAAAAGTGAAGCTAAATGTTGCAAATATGTGTGTATCAAATTACCAAATAAATTAGCATGAGAAAACACCCCATTGGTATATCGTGTCCTTCTACACTTCGCAGGGATGCAGCACACTTTTTTGCAGATTCCTTTGCCCTCAATGCACGACATACGTTGTCAAACATGATCAGAGTGGCAACTATTGTTTTATCAGTAGCGATTGTCCCAACTTCAATTTCATTGAAAATATCCATAGGGAGGCTCAATTAACCTTTGAAACTTTTGGAGGTTTTAGGGTTAGATAAGGAAACAGTTGGTGTGTACATTTTTTTTATATTTCAAGTCAAACAGGTTTTTCACTTTCTGACCTCTTCCTTTGACAAACTTGGTAAATGCTTTAAAGGGTGCAATGAAACCAGTCTAACACGCAATAGTTCTGTTCATCACCATGGTAACATTACTTTACTGATAATATTGACTGCCTTTTTTTTCCATTTTGTAAGGTCAGTCCAGCTGATGGGCGTGTTCTTCATTTTGGTGTAGTGGAAAGAGACGTGGTAGAGCAAGTCAAAGGAATGACTTATTCAATGAAAACTTTCCTTGGACCTGACCAGCCATCTACTTCAACACTCAGGGAATTAGAACTTAATGAGGATAAAAAGCTTTATCACTGTGTTATTTATCTTGGACCTGGTGACTACCATTCATTTCACTCTCCTAGTGAATGGAATGTTTCCCTCAGGAGACATTTTCCAGGTTAGTTTTCATATATGGACTGCATGTCCATGGGGAAGTTTAAGAAAAGAATCAAAATTTTATTTTTTAAGCCCTGAGAGTTTGTCTGTTCCTGGGGATCAAACCTAAGACTGTTGTGCTCCAGTCCATTCCTTTACTGACTAAGTTTACACTAAAAAGTGAAATGGAATACAATAGCCTTTTTTTCTTCTACCCATTTACACACCAAACAATAGTCCTTTAAGCCCCAACATCCAGACAAGTTTTCCACATCAATTTCTATACACTTCATTAAAAATAAGTTGAGAGAATTTGTTTAAAGGTCTAAGCATATTCCCCTTGGTGATCATTTTATAAATTCTCGTAACCTTTCCTCTTGATAATGTATCGACACTGTTAGGAGATAATTGATGTTGGTCATTCTTGGGACTTAAAGGCATAATGTATTAATACTTTGTAGTACCGTTATAGATAAAAGATATATATTTAATAATATTATTTGTTATTTCTTTCCTTGATCCATACAGGAGACTTATTTTCCGTTCACCCAGGAATTGCAAGAATAATGTCTGGTTTGTTTAACCACAATGAACGTGTTGTTTTGAGTGGTACATGGAAGCATGGATTTTTTAGTTTTACTGCAGTTGGAGCTTACAATGTTGGATCTATTGTCCTTAAGTTCGATGAGGTAAAAAGTAACACACAAAATGCTTTTCAGTAAATTATTACAATAACTTCAATAGTGTTCTTATTAATTACCTTCAATCCTCTTTTATTACAATTATTACATGTAGGTAGTGTATTTTGTGTATTTGTAGTATTTCTTTATTGATTTACATCAGATGTGGTAGTGTACATGTTATATTATTAATTAATAAAAAAACAACTAAAAAAATACTGTTTTTTGGCAAGAGGGTATTTTTCATGTTTTTGCTCTTTCTTAGTATACATACATACATACATACATACAT